TAGTGGGGTGGGAGGAGCGGGGGAAGTTCTTGGTTGAAAAGGAGCTGAAGCGGGCCAGCCCTGTGGCTCACTCGGGAGAGTGCTGTGCTGGTAGCGCTAAAGCCGCAGGTTCGGATCCTATATAGGGATGGCCGGTGCGCTCACTGGCTGAGCGTGTTGCGGTCCACACCGTGCCCAGGGTTGCGATCCCCTTACCGGTCAAAAAAAAAAGGAGCTGAAGCTCTGGAACTGTTCCTGCTGAAATGTTGGAGATGGCCCAACATAGTGTAGGAAGGGTTTCCTGGCTTCTTAATGCCAGGTCAGACTCTGTTCTGACCAGCTCTGGGGTCACCTCCCTCAGGTCCGGCAGATTGCTCCAGAAGGCACGGTTTCCTGATGTCATGGGTGGCCCCAGGAGCCGGCTCTTGGGGTAGTTGGTGTCATCCCTACGCCGTTCCCTGGGCCCTCACCCCAGCAGCCTCTGCTCCAGCTGGAGCCTCTTTGGGTCCTGGCCATCAGGCCTGGGCAGAGCTGGTTGTGGTGCTCAGAACGGCAGGGCTGCCTGTGACTGCTGCCTGCCCACAGGCTTTGTAGATGAGGGTTGCTGGACAAAAGAAAGGGCCATGGGAGGGTGGCAAGGTGCATTCCCCTGCAGGTGGCAGAGCTTTGGAGAGGACAGGATGTTGGTGCTCTGGGAAGCACGGCTTGGGCTCTGGGTCTGCAGATAGCTGTGGATCTGGAGCCCTGCCGTCTCTGCCTTTTTATGTCCTGGAGTCCCTGGGCTGGGGTTCTGGATAAAGCCTTTAGGGCCTTCAGCTGGATGGGCCCAGTGGAGGAGGTGGGGCTTGCCTGGTGGGGCAGAGGACACCTGCCCTCAGCCAGGCATCATGGGAGTCATCCAGTGGTTGCTGTGAGAAAAACTACAGGAGTCTGGAAATAAGCTTCCTACGATGTCCCATCCCCTCCTTCTGGAAGCAGAGGTGCAAGCACATTACCTGGTTGAAGGAGTAAGTTTCTACAGTAAAACGCTCAGGGTCTGGGACCCTGCCTTTGCAGCCTGTTTTGGTGGCAGCACAGGTTCCAGCCGCGTTGCTTTGGATTTAGTACTGCTCGTTTTGGTGCTGCAGCTCCTGCAAGGGCTGGGGAGCTTGCTATGAGCGGTGTCCCTGAATATAGTTTTTCTACATTTGAATTCTCTGTTGTAGATTTATGTAAAAGTACGTTCTTTTTGAAAATAAGGATTTTCATGTCCTGTAATTTTGTCCCCTTGGTGGGCAGTGTCCCCAGTGTGCCACAGTGTAATGTGTGAAAGTTCTTGAGTTTTTTTTTTTTACTATGAACGTTATATTTGTGCTAATTATTGACAGTGTTAATCAGGCAGGCAAATATATTAAGGTATCACCCATATTCCTACTAACATTTTGGGGAATATCTTGGTGTATTCATTAAAAACTTTATTACAAAAGCTTCCAAACCTATATAGAAGTGGAGAGAGGAGTGTAACGCATGTCCCTGTCATCCTGCTACAGAAACTTACATGCTGTTTCAGATGCTCTTTCCTGGTTATTTTAGTGCAAATCCCAGATATTTTATCATATGAGCAATGAATACATAGTA